GAGTGTGAGGAGTCTTCCTCTGACGAGGAAGGAACAGACAAGATATGTGATAAACTGACCACTATTCCCATTCTCTGTCCCCCTGTGCTGCTTGCGGGGAGGAGGTAAAGAAATCAGGAGTAAAGTTAAGAAGGGAAGGGGAAGAGGGGGGGAAGTTGTTTTAAAATTTGTTTTTTGTTTCTGATTATTTTACTTTGATTTAGTTAGTAATAAATTAAACTAATTTCTCCAAGCTGAGTCAGTTTTGCCTGTGATGGCAATCAGTGAGTAATCTCTCCCTGTCTTTATCTCGACCCATGAGCCTTTCATTGTATTTTCTCTTCCCTGTCCAGCTGAGGAGAGCAGTGATAGAGCTGCGTTGGTGGGCACTTGGCATCCAACCAGGGTCAACCCACCACAATTGAAAATCAAAGGTGTAGCCCTTGCAGTGCCATTGATCTGACAGCTGGTTTACAGACAAACCTCTTGGTTTAGATTAAACCATTAAAATGGAAATAGTGATACTAGCCTCCATTGAAAAAGCACACAGAGGTCTAGAAGCACAGATAAAGCCATTGTGTGGGTCATTGCTATTGTCCCTTCACTACACTGACAGTTTATTTCCAGAGGAAAACCCCTAAACATTCACTTTCCAGCTCTCACATTTCATCTCAATAGTCTGCCAACCTGTCTGTGCTTCACAACAGGGGCCATACACAGCATTTTCATAACCAAATCAAAATTTGCACTGGCACAGGCCAGACTGGCAAACACATTTCCCTCCCTGCAGAAAGAGACCTTCCTTTGACCCCCTCATCCACAAGCTGAAAAAGCAGTAGGAAAAAAAACACAATAAAACAAAACCTGTTGGACCACATGGGACCCACAGTCCAAGCTGGCAAGGGTGCCAGTGTGCGCTTAGCCCTGGAGGCTTAGCTATGGTATACTGAGACATACACCCATCCTGCACAAGCAGAATGGGCCTGTATCAAACTGCAGCAATATTAGCACTCTTCCTGGAGGTTACAGGATGTGATTCTGTGCAAAAGCAGATAAGAGGAACATGTCTGGCCTTTAAAATTACAATTTTGTTTTTTGAATATGTGTATGCAAGACAGTCTATTATCATGGATGATTTCACCTCCATCATGGAGTTTTAACATTCAGCCAACTCCTTAATTTTAATTCAAGAATCAAACCTGGAAACTAACTCTAAATTAAATCAAGTTGTTTAAGGTTCATTTACTCAAACCTATTAGACAGCTGGGCACATTTATTAAACTGGACCTGTGTTAATCCAAGCAAATTTGCCTTTGGGTATACTGTAAAAATTAGCACAGTAGAAATTCAGTACAATGATTCCAGCAGGGTGGGGAGGACAGCAGAAGAGCCTCAGCCAGGTCATCTGAGTCTAAGACAACATTTGCCTGTGCAGCAGCACAGAGTACCTTAGTAAGGCTGCACAGTGACACAAGACATATCTGGTTCTGCCTGAGATGCCTACTGGCTGAACAGGAAAAGAAGCTACAATCTCTCAGCATGGAACTAGAATATATCACTTAACAATACCAGCCACTATGCACAATGTTACACACTTCATCCCTTAATTCATACACAAATCACTGTCCACCTGTACTTTGAGCACCACAGTCTACCTATGAGTGGGCACAAAGAATCTGACATGTACTCCCAGTAGGAATTTTGATGTGATGCAGACTTATGTCCTGAAAAAAAAAAGGTCTATATGTCTATATCCTTTGCAATACTTCTTTCAGAGTTGAAGTATGTTTCATGAGGTAGCTGGAGATAATGTTTTGCAAAGAATGAAAGGTGCTCCGGGTCTTTGATTTGGCCACAGGTAAGTAGCACTATCTTTACTAATCCACACCTCAATATATTTCAGCAACACATACAATCACCCTCAGGTATCATAAGGATCAGCTACTCCACATGCAGCTATGTCCAAAGCATCCTTATCTGTTTGTGCTCTGTTGCCTATGGACCTGAAATTTAGGCGAGAAGATAAAACAGACAACTGATCATATTTACAACCCAATTGCAGGCGCCATAGGAGCTGCATGGAAATCTTCAAAAACACCACTGCTTTTCTCTACCTTTTCTAGATTACTTTTTATTTAAAGAAATCTTTTATAAGGTCCTATTCACAATTGACTTCTATATTAAGGACAAAAACAATGGCAGGAAAACTCTGACACTTGGGACACACTGGAGGGCTTAAGCAGGTGATCAAGTTACCAGTACCTAAATTGTATCAGATGTACTTTAATGGCTGTCAACATGTGTGTACTGAGCCAAAAATATCTGAACTGTAATATGATTTTGCATCTCTCTCTTTCAATGCAGTATAAACTATGTGGCATTACCTGGTACTTGCCATGGACTACTACTTGTCATAGACTAGATGTGTGTATGTGCATGGTTGCCATATCTCAGTTAGGGCACAGCAACTTGCCAAGTTATTGTTCCTGAGCTCCTTCAGTGCCTCAATTATGGTTCCACAAAAATAGGTGAGCTCTTACAGTAAGCTCCTTAATTTGATGTAAAATCCCAATAGACACATTAACTGTTTGGGGTTTTTTTTTCCTGCTACTGTTGGTAGCTAGGGTAAGAGGTTAAAATGCAAACAGCTATGCCAAAGAGAAAACAAAATAATTGTGTATCTGCTATTTTTTAATCTCGGGTTTCACATTTCATGTAAAATTCTCATTTTTTTTCTACTGTGATCTCACCTCAGTGCACACCTTCAATTGCGTTTCAAGAATATAGACAATGTTGTGACCTGAACTGCTTTTGTAAATAACAGCAGATACTACATTTCAAAATTATCAGCTGTACATTTCACAATTGTAATAATGGAGGATAGTGCCTGTGTCAGCTGTCTCATTCCTAAAGCTTACAATAAAAACTTCAGCTAATAAGCAACAGACAGTAGTCATGAGTGGACACAAACAATTCATTTAGAATCTAGCTTCAAATTCTAGATAAAACGAGTTATTTGAACACCAACAGTTTTAAAGTATTGTGTTGGAATCCAGCATTATATACTGTGTACGGGCACATAATGGAAACCCCATGGTTATTTGAACACCAGCAGTTTTTAAATACTGTGTTGAAAGCCAGTATTATCCGTATATAGTGGTATATAATTCAGTTAAGTTGCAAGTGAGCACTGGTAATAACAGTGGTCTTTAAAGCTCAGTAGGGCTGATAACAACCAGATGTAAAAACGTAATGACTCCTAAAACCAACACAGTACAGGAGGAAATAAACTCATAAAGGTTGAAGTTCAGATTAAGACAATTCTTTTTACGTAAGGAAAAAAACTAAACCACAAAACAAGCAAAACCAAGAAGGTTTTGTTAGGTCTGAGGATGTTCCCTGTATGGTGCAACAAGCTTAGAAAGTAAAAATGAACTAAAAAGCATCTATACCTTGGTGCTGTTACCAAACCACCAGAAGTAGGTAAGTGTGCCTGCCTGGCTGGGCCAAACTACTGCAGTAATGTTGACATCCTTATTTCTGATGGCGACAAAGGGGATGCTCAGTTGGACATGCTCCACTGGACCTGTGGGAAGACAGAGTTCATTATTAGTGACTTTGAGGTAAATCCCTCCCTGCGCAGTCGTGAACAGCAAGGATCTTTCCTTTAAATAAATCAAATGTCTATTGTCGGCTGTGAGACTCTATTACAGCAATACAAGAGAATTTCAGCAGTCAATAAGCAACAGAAAAAGATACCAGATTACTTCTGGTAATCAAACAATGTTTTTCTCACTCTTAATTCCAGGGGAGCCAGAAATGCATTTTCCCCAGTGCTAATTTCAGGCAGGGTCAGCACTGTGCGTAGAAGAACTTTTCAAATGCAGTTTGAGGGAGAACAATGGACTGGCTTTGCACTAGATAGGGCAAGCTGCTATTGAAAGCTTAAGAGATAGGACGTGAGAGAGGAAGAAGGTGTTTTCTTGAAAATATATCCACTGAGCTAACTAAGATTTGTGGGAAAATCATTTCATCCAAGATGGCTCGTATCTGACTATATATGAGGCATTTATGACTTGATTAAATACACCATGACTTTTTTTTTTAGAAAGTCTCCAAAAGAAAGACCCATAATTTTGGAAATCCTAGGTATCTTTTTGACTTTGGCCTGACCTTGAGAAGTCTTTGGGCAGTCAGTTACCAGTAGCAAAAAGTCATGAACTATTTGAAAGATGTGTCCATTGCCATATCAAAGGATTTAACTGTCAGAAGATTTTTTCTGAAAGACCTAAAAAATAACAAAGTTTCAATGTCAAGTTGTGTCTAATAAATGCAAATGTCGAGACTGACTTGAAAGTCCAGAATTAAGAAGCCAGTTCCTCTCCAGAAAAAACAAGTGTAAAAAATAATGAGGTTTTGTTTGCTAGTGTGCTTAAAGCTTTTACTATCTCCATTGTTTTCTTTCTCATTTAATTTTTTGGTTTTACTGGTACTAAATATCAGCCGATAAAAGCTGTACATAAGTCAGCATTACTGGGTCTTTCTGGATGGTACCTCTTAAAACACAGCAAGCTGATAGACTACTAGTGTGAGAAAGAAAAGGTGAAACAAAAGATAAAGAAGTGAGATTTTTTTTTTCCTTAATAAAACTTTAATTCTGGGGAGCAGGAATTTTGCTGATTTTAACTGAGATGATCTTATTGTGTTACCTTTCAGCTCTTCAAGCACAAAATAGGGACATTAATCACTTCTCTACCTATTTGGGATTACAAGGATTCTGGAGACCAAACGCTGTTCTTTTACCACCACAACATGCAGCTCCAAGCAGATTGCACCTCTATTCTTGCTTTTGGCTCCTTAAAACTTGTTCTTTCCCCACACCTTTTTCCCAAGAGGTCTCTACCTGCAAGTCACTCCTGAACTCTGCTTGTAACAGTACTCTAGGTTCCCAAGAATAGCAGATTCCCCCAAATATTTTGTGGCAGTGCATGTAAAAGGAAAACCACTAATATCTTTACTTCCTCTAAATGAAGAGATGAGCAGCTTGACAGCAGATTCCAGAAAGGTGAAGAGCTGACTGACCACTAATACACATGCAGAGTAGAAAACTACTGTTGCTTAAGGCCAATGAGCTTCCTTCTTCCTGTTTTTTTTCAGCACAGGATTCCAGTACCAGACAGATTGTATAAAAAGGGTGATTTATATAGCAGGCATTTTTGTTCGTACACTTGAGCTTCAAGGTCAAACCTTCTATACTGACTTGTACATCCAAATATATTAAAAGTCTAGTACTGATGTATCATCTTATTTCATTGTTAGCACGAATATAAATGCTTCCTTGGAGATAATGCTAATAAGTTGGCCACCTAAAAATGCTGTAAAATTCAAAGGAGATATTTGAGAGGCTGAGGAAGGAAAGGGTAGAGTAGCACAACCAGGCCAAGTAACTGCCCCTTGTTGCATTCTGTTCTAAAATCCTCACCATGAAAAAGAAGTTCCTACGAGAAAAATTAGATAATCCATACAAAGCTGGTTGTTATTACCAGGTAACCATCACTTTTGTCAGCTAATGGCCCAAGGTGAAGGAAAAAACAGTTAATGCTCTAATAACAGGTTGTTAAATGCAGCCGTGATTGACTTTGAGGGAATTATGAGCATAATAAAAGCTTCAAGGAACATTTATTCCTTCACACAGGGAGCCTGAAATTATAAAGAAGAAAATGGTTCTTGAGTTTTGGAAATTTCTGACTTGCTTATATAGAGCAGAAAAGCACAAATAAAAGATAGACAGGCTAGAAGACCTTGTCAGGCTAACGGGGAACACAGACACGGCTGTGAACACTATAGGGGCAAAACCCATAAGGTACATATAAACACAGTCAGAACTCTCTGCCCAGGACATCTAGTAGTCTGAGAGCAGGACAAACAACTGGGATCTTCCTGATCTCACCCTGCATTCCACACCCTCTGCTCTCTTCTGTGCCTTTGAGAAGCCAGCTGGGGGCTCTGTATCTGAGTCTGCTCGCATGACAAGTGGAGTGAAATTGCATTGGTCTACCAAACAGGAGGGAAAAGTCAGGGATGTATGTCACTCACATGAAATATGAAAAGTAGCTCATCAGCCCTCGCTACATTCATATCCCAGGAAGTAGGCTCAGTGTAATGCTTTTCTTTAATAAGCACTGTAAAATCCCAAATCCGGAATAACTGACTCAAAATTTAGGTTAATCTAAAACTCTTGGTATTAGAATTGTATTCAAAACACACATTTGGACTTTGTTTCAGATGTTTTTTGGTCTCTGACTCTTTCAGAAACCCTGAGAAACATTTTCAAACCTTTCTCTGTGAGGACAGCAAATGTGCTTGTGTTATAATAAACTTCCCTTCCTCTTTATTCAATAAAGTTTACTTAACAAGATAGAGGTGTTTAAAAGTCCAAGCCTTTGGACAAGCACGAGCTGCATATGTAAGTGGGCTTGCATTTATTCTTAGGCCCCACTGAAGTTGCAGGGATTTTCAGTAAGGTTAGGTTTTCACTCAAGGAATCTAGCAGCTGGAAATACTTACAGACCACATGCAGGAAGAGGACAGCAGTGTCAGAGCCCAGGCTGTTCTCTGCATATGCCATCACCTGAAAGATTCCAGCGCTCTTATAGGCATGCCGGATGCCATCCTCAACAGGGCTGAAATTAGCATAGGATACTGCAATGCCATCTCCAAAATCAAGCTGAATGTTTGTCCTTTGGGGATCACCCTGCAACAGAGAAGGTTGGATTAGGAAACTGGGCTGATAAGAGTGATATATATTACTCCCCATCCCACTTCTCAGTTCCATTTCATTAGCATGCTCACAAACTTTTAACTTTACCCAAAATGTCTAGCTTTGTTCTGTCAGTCCCTGAGATGGCCAGACTCAAATCAACACCGGCTAATTATATACAAGAAATGCTTAAAATAGCTGAACATTACACCTGTAAAGAGGTGTTACCTCCCCATCTTGAGTTTAGAGATTTTGAGAGGGCAGACTGCCAATCGTACGTGTTTCAAGGGGACCATACACGAACCATCTCATGCAATGCATGGTTGAGGATTATGTGTCACTGAGGTGGCCAGGGCTTTGCACAGCCTTTCATTGAATAGGTGGTGTCCAGCAAATACCTCCACCAGTGGCAGCGAGATGGGAGGCACCACATGGGAGCATCAGGAATATGCTGGATACAGGACAGTGGTTGAAGTGGCTCTCCAATACATTCTGAAGAAACAGAACCTAGTGACTGAGATTCTCTGAGTCTAGTCTAAGCTAGTTTTCCAGGCTTCCTATATAGTCAGTGAAAGAGATAAAAACAGAGAGAGAGAGCACATCCCAACCGAAGATAACTGACACAGGTAACATGAACCATCTTCTGCAAGTATCTGTCCCTGTACCCTGATGATAGAGAGACTAGGTGACTAGTTTCAGCTAGACATGTAACTTCAGGGTGGCTAAATTTATACAGGTTGAGTCCCACACTGAGGACTGTCAGTTTTTGTCTAATGTCAGTCACTACAGAGATAGGGCCTGGATACACATAAGAATGAAGTAGATGATGAGAAAAATACCTTCTAGGATTACTGTCAGTGACATCTATTAAATGAAGGAGGGAACAGCAGACAAGAGATTCTAGCATTGTCTAGATATTGTCAGATATATTGTCAGATATTGTCTAGAGGCAGCAGCTGTACTGTTTTAATTTAAATCATGCGTTAAACCACTATACGTGAACTGTAGAAGTGTCTGATATTTCAGTTTCTTGGAGCCTTACTTTATACTTGTCCCCAGCTGACTAAAAGTAACACAAAAAGGCTAATTTAAACACAGCTAAACCCCACTGCAGTGATTTCACTAAACTGAAATAAAACTACACTTCAGATTAAATCTCTGTAGCTTACTGCATATATATAAGATGTGTTGGCCCAAGTCATTTCCTTTCATGAAAAGTCTCTACTATATTCACTACGGGTGAAGAAGATACCAGTGGGAGATGATCCCAGCCCAAAACTGAAACCAATCCCTAGACATAGATTCCAAAGTAAAATAAAGAAACAAGCCCGAAAGCAAACCACAAACTAACCAACCAAAAAAATTCCCTGATCCTTAATTTAGCTTTGGTTTTTTTTTCTTTTTAAATACAAAATTCAGGAATATTTCATGGCCATCTCATAAACCCCATTATAGCTGTAAATGCGCGAGGTCAGGATCAAAGCTAGTGTGCAGTTCCAGTATATTCTGATCTAAGGGAGGAAAGCAACCATGTAGCCAAACAGTTCTGCGGTTCTGATGTACCTCCAACCCCTTCACCGCCAGCTCAAATCCTGCAAGGTCCTACATCCACAGGGCTCCACTGAACTCACAGATTTCACTAGAGCCTCTGGGCCAAGTATTGCTCAAAACGAATCACAATTTCCTAGAAACACTGTGCAGATCAGACAAAGGGAAAATATTGCCTGGGACAACCACATATTGACAGTCCCTAAAAGTTTTAAACCTGAGAGCCCATCTTTTCTCTGGGCAGTATTTTTCAAGTTTACCTGTGTGTGGCAAAACACATAGGTTGCAGTCTACATTCTGTGAAACTCACATCCATAAGTGATTTTTCATGTGGTCTGAACACATTCACACACAGCAGAGATCCATTTGAATCATGACTTATCATCCCAGGAGACTCAGGTAAAGGCAGAATATTGATCATGGAAAAAGAGGTCCTTTAATCAGAATTAAACAGTTCACAGGCTGTTCTAACCCAAATGATCAGCAAGTGAGACTAAAGGTGCACAACAAAGGCTTCTGCAGAGACAGAAACAGCCATGGATACAGGCAAGGGATCCCAGTTCCTGCCTCCCACTGACTCCAAACTCATGGGAGCTGCTGTCTTACGCCCCCCAGCCTGTGTAAATGGCAACTGTGGTACTGACACAGGCAGGACACTGTTCCACTACTGGTCCCAGTCCTGAAAGTGCACCTGATCTTGTCCTTTTGATGGAAACCTGGGAGCACAGACAAGAAGCCAGACTACACTGAAGCAGGTCTGCTGCGTAAATAATCTGGACCATAGCATGCCCCTAGACTTTATTTTCCTAGCAGGCTGTGCCTGCATTAACTAAGCAGTGTGTAGGAAGGGGTTTTTTTCAGATGTGAATTTGCCTTGAGCGTGTACTTGAAGTCTTGAGGTAGACACCAATATACTCAGAGTTATTACATGTAGTTTTTAAAACATATGTTTTGGTTATATATCTTAGGTCTCTCTCCTTCCTTACTCCATCATTCTCATTTCACAGGAGCCAGGGGAGTTTAGTCTATTGACTTGATCAGGGCACCATTTTCACTTCTGTCTTACTAGAACATTAAAAGTACAGTATAAACCAAAATAAAACATAGGGGACTAGAGTGGTAGTGACTCTAAAACTATCTTTAGTAACATCCTTTTGATAGTTTTTTAAGTCACTCTAAAGAACTTCTTATGAGGGGCAAAATTATACTCGTGGGCTATTCAGTTATTTGACAGAAAGGCTCCCGCAGCTTGTTAAACCAAAGCAAAACTAGTAACAACCAAAACCCACTTCTCAAGGGAAAGTACTAAGACCACAGGTTGTCTTAGTCTTATATGGAAGACACTGAACAGAGGATGAAAATGTAATCTAGGCTGGATTCATCACTGGAGACCTTAGGCTGAAATCTCTTGCATCCATCATGGCAGGTCCTCTTTCATGCCTTACAGTTCTCTTTCCTACTTCTTCCTTGATTCTCAAAAATGATTATATCTGAAATTAGAAGACTTGAAGTGGAGAAGCAGGAACAGATTTTTTGTGACTAAACAATAAGGAGATGATCTTTCCACTCAATTATGAGAGTTGGGTCTTCAATACAAAGCCATCCCATCACATCAATCATATTTTCTTTCCTCTTTCCATAGCTCTGTATCCAGTATATAAAATACTAAACCAAGTGTGCTAATCCCACATATGATGTCAGATATTCTAGAGTTTATGAATATAAGTTAGAAGAGAATGAAGTAGAGGCATTTCAAATGGAAAGAAAAAACAAACAAAAAAAACAAAACAAAAAAACCCACATTGTTCTACATATATATTCAAAAGGTACATTTTATTGCTTTAAGCTTCATAAACTACCAAAACAGTGAGCTCGGGGTTGTCTCAAAGAGTGGGGCTCTACGTACTGAAATCAGTGAGCAGGCAAAGGGTAGTAGAACGGATTGCCATGGAACACCCCTTCAGAGTCATCTCCCCATCAAGACTAGCGTGGGAAAGTTTTCCTGCCTGCATGTATACACAGTCCAAATCACAGTTCAGCCCTGTACTTCTAAAAACATAGTAAAATCATCAGTCATTCTGCATTTCTTTGTCATTCTCATACACATATTCAGCATTACCACTGTGAACAATACTGCTAAAGCAAAATCTATAAATCCTGAGAAATTAAGTTTTAAATTAACTCTGACAAAGTCCTCATTTACTCTTGGACAGCATAAAGGTCAGTCACAACAATATATTGAGGGTGCATACTAGGAGGTAGAAAGGAAGTGATGGCAAATCACAAAGATGTTGATCAGGGTTAGTCTGAAACTTCTGAGAGTCTGAAACCTCTGAGACCCCACTTGGAGTATTGTGTACAGTTCTGGTGTCCTAAACATAAAAAGGACATGGAGCTGTTGGAGCAAGTCCAGAGGAGGACCCGAGCAT